TTGCTATCCAGTTCAAAAACTCAAGTTACTTTTAGGATAGTTTATATTTTATATTTCCCACGATTCAGTCCCACTATGCAAATATTGCCATGTTTAGGGACAAGTCATTATTAATGCAGGTAGGGGCCCGGAGGAAATTTTTATGAATAGCAAAAATTTTTCATGACCCCTTATTTTTCTAACAAAATCATTTTATCCCCCCCCCCCTATTGAAGCAACATATTTCATAGCCCCCCCCCCAAAAAAAATTCTGAATTCAATGACTCTAAGTCAGTTTCGTAACCATCTTTCCTGCCCTCATACTCAAGGTGGACAGGAGTGACTTCAGTTTCACAATAGACACAATAGATAATTCAGACTTTATACCTGAAAAGTTGTTGGCCCTCAAACAAAAAACCTACACATCAGGCCTACCTTTACTAATTGAAAAAAATACATTTGTGTCTGGTGGAAGCATTATATTGAAGAGATGGCATGCAGGAGAGACTGTCAACAACATGCAGAAACAGAACATGTCAAAGAGGTCCACTTGGTTAAAAAGCGTAAAACAGGGCAACAACTGTCAATTGAATCTTGCATTTGCAAATGCAGTGCATGACCCTTCAGACAAATTCTACGGTGATGATGAGGATTGAGGATGACAATTTCCATATACAGTAGCTAGAACACAACTTTTCGGTTCAATATATTGGGCATTACTGTTCAATGTATGTATGTATACTGTATATATATATATATATATATATATATATATATATATATATATATATATATATATATATATATATATATATATATATATATATATATATAATATATATATATATATATATATATCCATTACTCTTTTGATATTATCATATTACATGTTACAAACTATTCCATAGATTTTATTTTTGTCTCCCTTATTATGTTCGTATTTTTCTGTCTCACCCCACCCCTTCAATGTCATAAAATTTTGTACTCTTAAATTTCCTCCGGCCCCTACCCGGCATTAATAATGACTGGTCCCTTATAAACTATAAATACAATCAATTTCTAAAGAAATGAATAATGGTGAGTTGAGGGGGAGGGGCAACCTCGCAAGCCAGGGTCTTCTACCTACGCTGGGCTGCGGCGAAGACCCTGGTTCAGGCTGGTCACGTGACACTTTTACTTACTCTCCACCTTGGGGGGGATGGGTAGAACACCAGTGGTGCAAAAATCGACTTCCGGTTGAAAACAGCGTGTATCGTCGTTTCGAAGGGGTGAAGAGCGCAAATTTTGGTAGCTTGCTTCGACGCAAATATAGCAGATAAAATGGAAAGAGGATCTAAATGTATGATTTTCTTTGCTTGCTTACATTTCGCTATTACAAATAGCTTATATTCTAATATTATGTTAAAACCAAAGCAAGTTATTTGTTTGGAAAAATTGTTTTTTGGCTCGGATGTACTGGCGGTTCTTCCAACAGGTTATGGGAAATCGTTAATATATCAGATTCTACCGTTGCTGTTGTACTGCAAAGAATGGTTAGAAGGAAGCCAGATTCAACGTTCCATTAATGAATGCGACTTAACGTCTGTCGTTATTGTTATTTCCCCTCTAAATTCGCTCATTAACGACCAAATTCGGAAGATACTTACGACAGGCCTTCGAGTGTCCATATTAAATGTCAACAGAACTTGTGATGATATTACAAGTGATTCTAGCGACGACGAAGTTCTCTGCGACGTAGTTGAACTTGACAAAAAGGAAAGACTGCTTGCTGGTTATTATAACATTTTATTTGCACATCCTGAATCACTGTTATCTAGCAGATTTGGACGAAGTCTTGTCAATAGTGTGGTCTATCAAAAAAATGTTTGTGCTCTTGTCATTGATGAAGCACACTGCATCATAGAATGGTATGTATATAAATATGTGTATGTATGTATGTATATAAATTATGAGATAACAAATTTGTATGGTTTACCTGTAATAGTTTGGAAGAAATGTTATTCGCTAATATAGAACCTACTTTAACATTATAAATGCACAATGTGTCAATTACAGTAGCTAGACTTTTGTACTACAGTTAGAATACAGACCCTAGCAATAACGGGGAATTTGAAACTTTCCTTGACTATAATGTTTATTGAATGTATAGATTTATGATACATTCTAACATGCACTTATCATTGTGCTTTTAGGGGAGATGATTTTAGAAAAGATTATGGAAAGATTGGAATGTTGTGTGCAAGTTTTCCCAATGCTCCGGTCCTTGCATTGACTGCAACTGCAAATAAAATGGACAGAAAGCATGTCAAAGAATCGCTTGGGTTAAAGAATTGTGCCGAGTTGGTAGCAAATCCTGATCGTAGGAATATATTTTATGAGAAATGTTTTAGAAAGGGACAAGACATTGACTCCATTGAGAACATTTGTAGACCAATTGCCAATGACCTAATGAATATGACCATCAACTATCCATTGACAATTATGTATATGCCACTTAAATGGTGTGGGTTTGTATATAGACTGTTTGAGAGCATCCTGGGATTGTATCAGTACTACCCATCCAATTCTTCACCTGTTCCAAGAAACAGACTATTTGCTCAATTCCATGCACCCCAAACAACCAGTATGAAGGAAGAAATATTATGCCAGCTGAATTCAGAGAAATCAAACCTCAGAGTGGTATTCGCTACAGTTGCATTTGGAATGGGAGTAGACGTACATTCAGTTAGGCAAATTATTCATATTGGACCGCCCAGAACGATAAGGGAGTATTTCCAAGAAACTGGTAGAGCAGGCAGAGATGGTAAGTTTTCAAAAGCTATCCTCTATTACAGCAACAGAGATATTGCTCAGAACAAACCAGGTTTCCAAGAAGAAGTAAGGACATACTGCCATTGCAATGATCAATGCTTGCGATGCTTACTTCTACAGTTTTTGGATGTCAACCTACCAGTACCTGTTTCACCTGGACATTTATGTTGCAGTGTGTGTAAGGAAACCTGTGAATGCATCGAGTGCATTATAGATACTGGTATGTAAATTATTTAACCATTAAGGCACAATTATTCTGGTTTCCAAATATGATCAGTTGGTGTTAAAAAATGAGCTTACATTGCACCTTAATGTTTTTATAATTTACATGTCAAATATAAACACAATTAATTTCACCGGAAACATCAGAGACAGCAGCACATCAAAAATATTGGGTTGACATTTTCTTGCAATTGTGTAAACATAATAAATACTTAAATTCAACTTTTATAGTTTGAATATAGTCCCAATGGACAATACTTTTCCCAACCAACTCGTTTTTAACATATGGAACACAGTAATTGGTTATGAACAGAAAAGAAACATAAAATAATTTTCGACCTTAATAAAAAAATGTACGTTTATTTTCTGGTCGTAACCAATTACTGTGTTCCATCTATATAAATATATATATATATATATATATATATATATATATATATATATATATATATATATATATATATATATATATATATATATATCATATAAAACATTAATGGCAAAATGACACCTTTACAGCGATGTGTTTTAATAAGCTTACTTGTTTTTAAAATTGGTCAATTTGGAATTTGAGCATTAACAAGATCAAATTTAATCCAATTTACTCTTTGTCACAAGGTCATTAAACACATAGTTGAAAGGTGCTAGATAAGTTTGTATTTAATCACAATGATTATTTTAATGCAGTCAAATTGTTTCATCTTCATCCTCTGAAGAAATGTCTACTGGTCCACGTTTAAGAAGGTTTTTCTTGTGTCGTTTCAACCAGTCATGAAATGCATTATTGTCTAGAGTACTTAACGTGTCTGATGATGCATCTTCAAAACTTTCATGCTGACGATTGTCAACCTGTTCAAATGGTTTTAATTCAATGAGATCATCAATTATGATTTTCTCATCTTTCAGAGACGATTTGTGACTATGATGGGATGATTTGCTCTTTATTCCCAAAGCTAAGTCAAGGTTTTTCACAAGTGCCATTGTGCCGCCTGCTGCCCGACTTAACCTTTCTATTGACTTAGGTGTTTTATTGGCACCCATTCCTTTTATTCCTTTCTTCAGCTCTCTATTCATAACTTCTTGTAGAAGATCTATTTCCATATTATGGTCCAGTCCTCCTCTCAGGGTTGCAAGGGAAGCCCACCTTGTCTGGTGAGCTTGTGCTTCAGTAAGGAAAACAGTATCCTGTAAGATGCTGATGAACATTTCAATTGCGTAGATATTGTAACCAGTATCACTCTTGAAATGTTTTAACAATACCTTACGTAATGACGCTAACCGGTCACCATCTCCAATTCTCACGGCACGTTTGAAATCTTCTAATATGAAAAAAAATCGTAAAAGGCAGATGGAGTACTGTCTTATACGATCTGGTTGCTGGTCATCAGGCTCTTCATCACAATCAGCATCATGTGTAGTTTGCATTAAATATTCTTCAACAAACTTATCGAGAATTGTATCAAAATATAATTTCTGGTCACCATTGCCTTGTACCACATCATAAGGTGGAATGTTGTGACTTGGGGAGTCATCAAGTGCTGACATGCCAAAAAATTGCAAGAAAGCAGCAACCGTATATGCCCGACCAACACTTAGAAACAATTGCTCGCATTCTTCGAAGTGTTTCACATCACGAGTAACATTTCTACGTTGCAATTTCTCCCTAAAGAATCTGAGTGTGCCTGCTGCTCGCCCAGAATTCTTGTAGAGTTTCTTGAAAATTAGCTAGAAAAAACCCCCAATAAAATTATGAAAATTAGAAATGTACATTTGTTGCTTTTTTGCCTACTATCAGTGAGTAAAAGCCAGTGTTGTAACAAGTCACTTACAGGTCGAGTCATGAGTCGAGTCACTCAAAGGTCAAGTAGAGTCATTTCAGTTTCTGATTGAGTCGAGTCAGCGGCTTCACTCAAGTTGGGACATAGATTCATGTTTCGCTGTTTATAATTTATGGTTTGTGGTTAGGGTTAGGATTAGCATTCATAAATAGCAAAACATGAATCTATAACATCCAGTTGAGTCAGCGGCTTTACTCCAGTCAAGTCAATGGTTTAAGTCAAGTTGAGTCAATAGCAAGTCCACCCATCGCTTTCTGTAATGGCTCTCTACCCTAGCTTGCAGTCCGAAATTAGTAATCAAATTTACCTTTTAAGCTAATCACTTTTAATTAGTCATTTAATAACAGTATCTGGGCAGCTAGGCTGTATATCACAGTTTTAGTCAATATTAACTATGACCACATGAGATTGTCTCATCATGCCTGCTGATCGAGTGTACGTACATACAACTAGCAAAACTTGCAATCGGAGTCAGAATTAACAAAGAATAGACTTTAATTAATCCTGCTTTCTAAGTCAGTTTGAAATTATATAGTGCTTCTTATTCATACCATTAAAATGAAAAGAGCTTGTCAGAATTAGGATAAGTACAAAACAATTTGAGACTCCATTTTAAAAACTGGCACTTAATAAGCATTGTTTCTAAAGCTGATGAATAACATTGTCAGAGTTTTAGTGCAATAAATTGCCTTGTCTCATTATAACAATTCAAATGCAATGTTTGCAATTACCTTCAAAAAACTTCTCTTGCAGTGCCAGTCTGCACACTTTATTGGGTAGATATGACTGATCTGATCCTTTGCAGTATGGCAGCCAGCTCGTAAATCTTTGGCTCCAGCTATTCGCACTCGGGTGAGCTGATCACTATAACATGGTACTCGCACCTTTGCTAAGGGATCATTCGGATCAGCAACAGGGTGGACATGTGATAATGGCTGGTCAGGTTGGGAGGTAGATGGTAATGATGGAAGGGTCACATGGTGGGCATTTGAAATATCTTTCTCAGGTGGAATTTTGCCTGCCAAAGCATAAATGTGGTGGACCCATTTTTCCAGCTGATCCAACACATCCACAATTTCTGCATACCTCTTTTCATCTTTAAACAGGACAGGGAAGGGCACAACAAGGGACTTTTGTTGCATCTCTACTTTATGTTGCATTGGTACATCAAAATGAGTCACCAAGTCCTTGAGGAATTTAAAGGTTGGGATGTATTCACAAAGAATATGTGCGGCTATTGACTTATAAACTCGCTTTTGAATTGCAATATCACTGTCCGATAACTGGACTAATTTGACAACATCACAAGAAGCTAAGGACTGCTGTGGCTCTTCATCTGGCAAGTGGCTGGATGAAACACGATCAAACACTATAGATGTTGCTACGGCATGCACACTCTGGTTTTGGTTATCTGACCGCATTTCATAAACATGCTCCTCCCAGTCAATGTTGTCAATGACAAAGGAGAATGTTTTTCCATCCTTAACTTCCTGTACGACTTTGTCTAGGAAATGAGCACCAATGTCTTCCTGTATGGTATACTTCATTGTTTTTACCAGACAAAGACCAAACTTGTTGAATTTCTCATATACCTACAGTATACATATAAAAAAGGACATGCAAAGCTTTAGTAACACAATTAGCCAAAATATTAACTAATGTTGCTAATTTAAGTTATTTTCACCATTAATATTTATTTAAAATAAGCTTTTGGCACGTGAACCCATGTCGTCTTCAGGGTACTAAAACGTTGTACAACAGTACAATATTAGTATGTTAGGGTTTGTAATCCAAGTGAGAATATATACATTTTAAGACCTAACCAGGAACAACTGCGAAAATGCAGCACAAGGTCCTCTGGTAGGAATTGAACCCACGGCCACAGTACAAGCGCGTTTTAAGGCTGATTTCCACTGTTGCGTTTTTCATACGTACGTACACGCACGTAAAACTTTAAATCCGTTTAAATGTTACTTATGAAATAACCAAATAAATAAAGCAACAGAATTTAGTGTTCCACAAGTTTTAGTATGCATTTGTCAACTTATTTGTAAAATGTTAAAAAAATAGAAGGATTCAAAGTTTTATGTGCGTGTACGTGCGTACGAAAAACGCAACAGCGGAAATCAGCCTTTAATATAATAATTGGCAATTTTAGTCTAATAGAACAATGTATGTAAGATTTTAGTCTTTAGACCAGTTTTACAGTAACTGTAATGCGCCGCAAATTGTCACGGCCCGTGCAATATTTACTTATCTATCCAAACGAATATAAACTATAAATTATATAACAAGACTCAGCAGGCTTTTGTTTTGATACGATTGCGTTTAATGTTGCGTGACATATCATAACAATAGAATTTCTATTTGTAAGTTTCTATCACAACAATAGAATTCGACTTGATTGAAATGAAATTGACAACACCAGGCACAAAATCTGTGCACTATTTGCGACAGAAATAATAAATTTTATGAACATTGAAAATCCCATGAAAAGGTGCGTAAAAAATAGCTTATGCCCAAGTATAAAACAAGTAAGATTAGTGGCTTTGCTACGAACTATATAATATTAAAATTTAAAACAAATTTGCAAAAAGTTTTAGCTGCTCATCACAATGCTTGTACAGACTATACAGGGTGTATAAAAAAACCCTGCAAACACTATAAATTATAATTACCGTTTCAATTATAGGCATTGAAACGCTAATTTTGATACACCCTGTATACAAAAAAAAAACACGAAACATTGTTTATCGGCAGTCAAAAAAGATATTTTGTGTTAATTTACCTCCGTGTTGGCGTCACTGTCAGCTAGTAAGATGGTAATAAGGCGTTGTATTACAGTCGATTTCAGCTGACTTTTCACCGTAAGGTTCCGAAGTTCATTCGGAACTTCCGAAGTACATTCCTTATTTGGGAAATTGGGCGCGAACTTCGAAACGAACTTCGGAATGAACTTCGGAATGAATTTCGTAAATACGATTTACAAAATACGCGTGTGACTTCAGGCATAGTCTTCAGGCCACATTCATCACATCTCAATTCGCGATTTATATATGAACCCAGAGCTATGAATCATTTCTCACAACAAGGACGTGCTCCTCCCATGAGTGTACGAGAGGGAATTGTACAATTATGGCTGAAACAAAAACGACCAAGTGAAATTGCGTTAGAGTTCAAATTGCCATTACGCACAGTCCATAACATTATTGAAAAATTTATCGAGCATGAAGGTAATCTAAAACCAACACAACCAGAACAATTTCGAAGTGCTCGAACGGATGATGTGATTACATACATCGAGTATACCAAAACGATGAAGCCGAGTACTTATGCCGTTGAAATTCAAAAGGGACTTGAGGAGAATAGAGTTTGCTTACCGCAAAATGTGCCAAGTGCAAGTTCAATAAGCAGGGTATTAAAAGACAACCTTGGGTATACAAGAAAGAAACTTACTATAGTCGCGCAAGAATCTCTCAGACCCGCTACCACAGAACGCTTGACGCAGTTTTTGGCGGAATGCAGTACTATTGATCCTAACACGATCCATTTTTTCGACGAGTGCTCAGTTGTTCGAACTACCGGCAATAGAGTTTACGGTCATGCCCCTCTCGGAAAGAAAGCAATTGAGATTCAAAAATATGCATCGAACGCGACTTTTACTGTTAATTTACTTGTAAATATCGATGGAATTTCTCATGTTGATATATTACAAGGAGCGTCGAACGGACTCGAACTGTTAAACTTTTTTACTGAAGCAGTACAGCAACGTGACCTATTTGACAATCCAGTAATAAAGCACGGTGATACAATTATTATGGATAATTGTGGGTTTCATCATGGCGTTCACACTGAGCCCATACTAAGAGATATTATTGCGGAGTGTGGAGCAAGATTAATATTTCAACCTCCGTACCATCCACAACTCAATGTTTGTGAATTGCGGTTCCACAGCTTGAAATGTTGGCTACGAAAGTACTCTCGTTTTACCGAACAGTACACGGAGATTGCCACACTGTCTGGACTGAGCAATATTCCAGCGGGGGCATCGAGAGCGTTCTTTAAGTACTGTGGATATATTTTGTAACATAACTGAAACGAAGTGTGGGTTTCGTAAAACATTTTTTTTAATATGCAGGTTTTATGTCAGTCCGAAATTAAAAGTGTTTAATATAGTTCCACCTTCAGATGTGTGTATAATGTGTTTCCCTGCAATATATATATCGCAAAAATTTGGTCACAACAAAGTTTAATAAAAGGCGGACCATTAGAAATCCCGGGAGGGGGGTATAAAATTTTTGCGGCACGAATTTTTTTTTCAGTCTCATGTGTCTGCAGGAATTTTTTTTAATGCATTTAACCTCTGCACGAATTTTTTTTCAAGACTACTTGTACTTTGCTGTTTGCTTGCACGAATTTTTTTTCTCTGACGAATGGCTGCACGAATTTTTTTTCCAGGCATTTTTCTTTGCACGATTTTTTTGGGGGAATTTTCACCCCCCCTCCCGGGATTTCTAATGGTCCGCCCCTAATATACAATCACAATTTAACAGACATCATATGTATTTATAGCGCAAGCGGGTTCGGCACGCAATGCAATTTAACTATAATTATGCGGATCATTTCAAGTTGCATGCACGAAATAAACTCCCTTGGCCTTGAACCAACCTCGAATGTACACTCGACTCTTTTGATCTGATATTGTTGACTTTTGTCTTTATATCAAAACAAGCTAGTTAGCGTAATTTTAATTTGTCTTACCTGTAACATACTTGAATGAAATACAGTATATTTGCTGTATACAGAAATACAGCGTTGGCCCTTGCTTTATATGCCACTATAAGAATGCTATAAACTTAATAAAGTACTATAATTAGGCCTCTTGTACAGTAATATTAAGTACTATAATATATAGGCCTCTTGAACAGTACTGAAAAGAACACAACTGCACTAGTTCTAAATATAGTCTAGAAGTACTCTAGATGAACAAAATCGCAATGTATATTACATTATTAAAGTCACACAACTTTAATATTGTTGCTTTTCAACAATTTCATCCGAAGCCACATTCACAAGAGCTTCAAATTTGCCCCAGTCACCATCCCTCGTTGCTTGACCTTGTTTTTGGACTGTATTATTTTCAGTTGCATGTGACAAAGATGTTATGATACTTCGCTGTGTTTCAAAATCGTTGATGCAGGGCTCTGTTGGCATCGGGTTTGTAATTGTTTCGGAACAAGGCATTGACGATGTATTTGGAAAAGCCGGCATATATGTATGTTGATTAGATTGCAATGCATAACCGTACGGGTAGAACGAACGAGGGGGAATTGCTTGCATATTTGGGTCAAACATAGGTGCAGGGTACCTCGCAGGGTACGTAGAGCCAATCGGCATATATTGTGCGTGTAGCTGATCTCCCGTATTATTTTGACCGCCAATATAATTCCTCGCAAACAGGCTATTCGATTTGACATTGTGATGCCCGCCCGTATCCGTGTCGCTACTAGAAGATGATGATTTTCTTCGTCTTTTACGCTTCTTTTTGCTTTTCTTGCTGTGTTTTTTTCGTTTTCGATCTTTTACACATAAACTGGAGGTCTTGTTGGAGATTTCTTTAGGTTGGGCGTTGTTATTGGTGTATAAATCGTCAAAATTGCTTTCCATCTCCTCATCGCTTGAAAATGGGGCATTTACTTCACCTTTCATATCTCTTTTGCATTTTTTGAGCAGAATTCTTAGTTGTTCAGCGTCATTAGCCGTAACATCGGGAATTTTACCATCCAATGCAGTTCTGAGAATTCTTACGTCTCTCAAAAGTTTTGCCTTGTTAATTTTATAGGAACTGTCCATCTCAAACATACGCGGAGTTAGATTTTTCATAAAGTGATACTCACTCTTGGTTGAAAAATTTTCCATCGACGCTACTTGGGTATCAAGGTCGTTTATCGCTGCCTTTCGTTTACTTAGTTCCATTTTCATGGCATTAAGTTTCTGGAAATATTCAGGGTGTTTCTCTTTTACTCCGCAGTACGTATAATCCGTACATTTCATCAGACGACAAGGATTCGTGCCTTGGTTTCTGTGTCCTTTGTGGTGACAATGGCCACAAACGACTTTCGATTTTCCCACGGCTTCCGGTGGTCGCACAACAATGTCCATTGAATCTATATTCATTTGAAGCTCTCTGCATTCAGCGCGTTGGTTTTCCATTTTATCTTTCAGGACATCAGCCTGTGTTTGTAATGCCGATAAGACATTCTGTAAAAGTATACATAGGAAAGGTTTATAGAAACCCTGCTTGCATTATATTTGTATAATTTGTTCATGTGTAGTACTGCATGAACCTTGCTGGGTTTTTTTACAGTAAATTTCAAATAGTCAACTTAATTACTTACTTTACGAGCTTGAGATGATTCTTCTTCGTTCTTTTGAATCTTTTTCCTCGTGTTTGCGATCGGTTGTAAAGGGGAATTCTCGCAAAGAACTCCCAATTTATAAAGAAGTAAACTTTTGGCGCCCAAAGATATATCCATTTGAAACATAACATCGATCTGTTCCCTTGTTAACAACTTTAATTGTAGTCTTGTGTTAAAGCCGTTGGCTTTTAATGTTTGAAACACTTTCGCACTGGTTGTATCATCCAACTTGCCTTTAAATGTGAGCATCCAATCCGACAACTCGTCCATTTTAAGTTCTAGATAGTTACATACCGGCACCATGCACGCGCTTATTTTGTAAATCGTATTTACGAAATTCATTCGGAAGTTCGTTCCGAAGTTCGTTTCGAAGTTCACGCCCAACTTCCCAAATAAGGAATGTACTTCGGAAGTTCCGAACGAACTTCGGAATCTTACGGTGAAAAGTCAGCTGAAATTGACTGTAAACTCAATTCATGACATCGTCTACAGGGGCGGATTCAGACCGTTGCAACCGTAGCATATGCTACGGTCAGATTTTCCCTGAGATATATTTTTCCAGGTTGTATCTTTTTTAAATTAATTAAAAACTAAAACGTTTGATACTATTTTTAATTGCCGTTATTTTCAATTTTTCATTGAAACTTTGTGCATTTTTTTTTAAATTTACTAAATCATATTAATACAATTTTATCGGGTTTTTATTTCATTTTGGATAATTAAATTCGTGTTTTTCTCAAATTTCCGCCCGAAATACTGCCTGTATTTGCGGGTTTTGCACTAGTACTATATCACATCGTTCTGAAGTCGTAGCATTTGCTTCATTGTGATTGGCTTGCTTCGTCTAACCGTAGCAAACCAATCATAGCGCTGTATTTGGAAATTTTTGCAATGGTCAGATTGAAACTGACTGTTGCAAAAATTCGCAAATACGGCCTGCTGATTGGTTTGCTACGGTCAGACGAAGCAAGCCAATCAGAATGAGGCAAAATGCTACTGTTTGCAATAGTCGCATCGACTTCAGAGCGATGCTGGCTTGTTTATATTGTCGTGTCGGCTCCTCGTTGTAATCGAATAGTCGGTAAATCGCCGCTCGTTCCAAGGAGAAAGATATAGCTTCTACAGGACTCCAGGATCTTCTGTGTATAATGAACGAATGTAAACGTTGCTAAAGAATTCTGATCGAAAGCTTTTGGTGTGCGATTTATATTGGCATAATTTGCATTTCCCGCGATGTGAACTGTGAAGACAGCGCCGTTCGAATCGCCTCCGTGCCAGGTCAGTCTCATGAATAGTATATTAAATATGTAAATAACATATCGAATTTTACACAGTTTCTGCGTCTCGAATATATTACCATATATTTGCTGATGAAACGTATTATTATAAAAATGCAGAACAATATCAATGGTCACTCACACTATTTGATAGCCATTGGCATGCCATGTGTGTTTATATTAAGAAATATGTTAGTTAATCTCCTATATATTTTATATCTTAGACTTTGCTCATGTAATTATTAGTTGTAGACCTGTTGTAGTCTATAAAGACTAGTGAGTAGTGTAAATGAAATTTATAGAAATAGTTACACTCCGATATATTATATTGTAGTTTACATGTATACTAACAGAGTTTAGAATTACAACAACTGAGCCTGCTTCCTGGGATAACGTATCATAAATATATGGTTAGATGTTTCAAATCCATGTATTGTATATCTTACTTGTATTAAAATTCGCGTCGTATACTCATTTTCGTTCAGCTTTAAATTTGTGCATTCCAATTTCGCGAAACTTGTTCGCGCAGCTTTAAATTCGCGCAAGTAATTTTCCGTGTTGGTTCCTTTTGGTTTGTTTAATAGAACTATAACAACAAATACTTCAATATTTGTCAAAACAAAATTCATGATAACAGTAAAGCGTATAAAGTTCAAACTTCAAAATGTATGGTTTTCATTTGCCTAATACAATAACAATAACTAATTTTTATTAGCATCCCATATATTTTTCCTTTAAGAAAAAAGCAAAATTAAATTACTTGTTAATATAAATATTGTTAGCTAAAACATGTATTATATATATTGAACCAATTTAGATTCATGTACTTTAATTTAATTTAATCAAAACAATATAGGGGCCTTATATCAAAAGTCCAACAGGATTTCAAAAGGTCCCTTGCTCCTTTATATTATTGTATTTTAACTATATTTCCATTGTAAATATTTTTGTGAGCAAATATATTCTATTCTATTCTATATTATAGGTTCGTATATGGTATTGCCTTACATTATATTATTTACTAACAACGAGTGAATATTACACCACAAAGCTTTTCGCGCGGATTATATTTCCCGCAGTACTAAAATTTGCGCACCCAGCTCCGCGCGAATTTCTGCAGAACTGCTCGAATTTTAGTACAAAAAACATATACAAATAAACATTTTTCCTAATTGCCGTTGTGCTGCTGTTTCAAGATGATCTACAAATAAACATTTTTCCTATAACTTGGAGATAATCTATATACAGCACAGAAAATATTTTTCCTGACTGCCATAAGTTGTCCTGCTGTTTCGGGATGATCTGTATATGCTGCTGCTTAGCCAGATAAATATTTTCCCTAACTGTCGTTGGGCCGCGCGTTTCAAGATGATGTACATTTGTAATTTTGTAAATTTTGTAACTGTTGCGCGTTTTTTTCTAGTTTTGGTGTGAAAAACAGGCACTTTTCTAGAAATTTTAAATCTAATTTTGATGCTCAGAATGCAGGAAATGGTACTTGCGAGCTTCAAATTTCAAAAAATTTTTGTGGGGGCATGCCCCCAAACCCCCCTAGGTAGGGCGTGGCCTTCGGCCACGCATGTTGATTTCATCCAAAATGCTACGGTCAGATTGAGACGCTTTATCCGCCCCTGGTCTAAACATCAACACGCCGTAAATAAGGCACAGAGGAGCAACTTTTTTTCTCGTTGCCACAGTCCAAATCTAGCATCTGGGATAAACTTGTGAATGTTACTGGGCACACAGTTCGTAGCTCTTTGAGAATGTTCTCCAACGAAAAACTACTCATAGCGTCAAAATCCTTTCTGCGAAGAACAGAATTCATGTCTCTTCGCGCGATCTTTCGTAGTTCTTCATCTATTTTCTTGAGTATTTCACCGAACGGCAATCCATTCAGGGCCGGTTTGGAAACGGTGTCTTCGACGGTCTGAGTTTCAACATTAATCTATATTTATGATAAACCAAAAATTATATAAAGTTTTAATTTTAAAATATTATAAAATGAAAGTTCCCTAGATGAAGCATATAGAATGATTATTTACAGTAAATATAGCATATACCTTGGGCAATGTAGGTTCCAAGGGGAGATCGTATGTTTCAAATGATGAGGAAAGGCTTCGACGACTTTGTCCTTGAGAGGATTTACCACGAATTAGTGTGTCTGTTTTTGCACTCTTTTCATCAGCGGTAGGTGCAGAAGGCGAAAGCTCAACGCATCTCTTTTGGCGCATCATGGAGTCTTGGTTATCACATATCATGTTTTTAAACTTCATGAAGTTATCCAGTCGTCTTTCACAAGGTCGGCATACGAGATGAGGAAGTGAATCGCCACGCAGTAGTTTTCCACCGTATAATAATTCGGCAGAAGCAAGCACGTTTACACTGGCCTTATTGTACAGGTTTTTGCAGTGTTTTGGATCGATTATGCTGCAACAAAGTCGACACATAGACTTTGAATCTAAGTTCGATTTGGCGTATACCTTCTTTGGCGTTTCTTTTCGCTGCGCCATATTTGCTATCTGAATGTGTGAGCCGCGATTTTTTAGTATATATTGCATTTCGGCATTGCAAAAGACATCACGGCGCCAGACGTCCCATTTGCAAATAAGTGCTAAAAGCAGCATATTGACTTTGCCACCCCTCCCTACGAGTTGAATTGAGCGCTAATTAAAAATCTCCCAGATTTTGGGAGATTTTGAGGTGTCACGTGACCAGCCTGAACCAGGGTCTTCTCCGCAGCCTAGCGTAGGTAGAAGACCCTGGCTTGCGAGGTTGAACATATGGTTTGTTTAAAAATGCTGGAAAAAACAAAAAAGTTAGCCAATTGAAATAAATGCACTAATAACTTGCTAAACATAGCTAATTGCTATTTATTATATAAAAACATCTGTCAACATACACTCATGCTTTTTCCTACCACTTGAGTCTCCACTCACCCTTTTTAATTAAAAAAGTCAACCCTATACTTGATACACTGAACATAGACATCCACGACATCTGCAGCAATTAGTGGGTTACGTTGGGTGCAAATACTTGCATAGTTGAAAAGCAATATAACCAACATGTTGTCATCCAGTTCCATCGTCTAGTTGATAGGCAATTCCAGCTTTTAATTTATGTGTGGAGAGGGCAACAGGAAGTAAGGTATCATATTGCTGATTATGCTGAAAAATTTTAATAAAATAAACTAAAAGCTGGAATTGCCTATTGCACTTGGGTCCCTTGGATTCAATGGTGCTGGCCATATTCTTACATTCACTGTTTTATCGTGTTCACGAAGAGTGAGGTATTATGTCTTAATTTAATTTTCCAAATGATGTTGGTAGTTTTTCTCACAAGCATCACCGATGCACTTGAATGCTACAGCGTGGGCGATTTCCTCCTCATCACTTTCATCTTCTCACTTAAACGTCATCACTTTCTGCCCTATCACCTTGATCACCTCTTTCATTATCATATCCATCTTGAACAGGCTCAAGACCAACCAACCACTCAAGTAAATCTCTTTCTACAAAATCATAACAAGAAAATTATTATTTGATACATTATCATCTCTAAAATTAGCAAACATGTAACCTCTAAAATTATATTCTCACAACCATCCACAACTAGATACAAACAGGCATCATACTCAGCAAAAATTTATAAAACAATACAAACAAATAACTGAATAACAATATACCTTCAGACTCATCTGAGAATTAACCAATGTATTACTATAAACTAT